GCCCCATAGACTGTCCAAGCCTCACAACTGTCCCCCACATTCAGTGGGCCTAATTTGGTCCTATGCAGGCTCACCTGCTATCAGTCCAGAGTCAGTGAGCTCTCACTAGTTCAGGTCAGCTGTTTCTGTGGGTGTCACCATCATGGTCTTGACCCTTTGCTCATATTATTGCTCCTCCCTCTCTTGGGCTAGTCTCTGGTAGCTTGGCCCAGTACTTTGCTGTAGATTCTCTATCTGCCTCTATCAGTTGTTGGATAAAGACCAATTTGCTTTTTTTTTTTTTATTAAATCAGAGGTGCCAAGTCAATTTAGTGGAAGAAGAGGAAGTCTTCTTGAGATGGCGGTAAAGCAAATGCTATCCTCGGTGGGGGAGTGGGTTAAGGAGGTAGGGAGAGAGAGAAAAAAAATGAGTGAATGAACCTAGGCTTAAATTTTACAAAATGAACTCAGATAGACCACAGATTTAATGTAAAACAATACAACTTTTAGGAGAAAATCACATTATAATCAAGTAGTACCACTTTTAAAAATTAATATACCCAAAAGAATTAAATTCAGTTTTTGAGAAGCATACAAGAACTGGGCAGTGGTGGTGCACATCTTTAATCCTATCACTCAGGAGGCAGAGGCAAGTGGATCTCTGCTGTCTTGAAAAACCAAAAAAAAAAAAAAAAAAGAAAAGCCTTACAAGAATGTTTGTTAGTAGTACTAGTCACAGCTGGGGGTGGAACTACCCAATATTTGTCAACTGATGAATGGATGAGCAGTGTGACATATGCATTTAGTGATTCAACTGTAAAACTGGACTGATAACTTCTTCAGCCTCAAAAATATATCATGGAAGAAGCCATTCACAGAGGCCAGAAGTGGATTGGTGGATGTCAGGACAGAAGTGGCAACATACGGTTTTTCTTAATGAATGATGGAATGGGGGGCTGGAGAGATGGCTCAGAGGTTAAGAGCATTGCCTGCTCTTCCAAAGGTCCTGAGTTCAATTCCCAGCAACCATATGGTGGCTTACAACCATCTGTAATGGGGTCTGGTGCCCTCTTCTGGCCTGCAAGCATACATGGAAGGAATGCTGTATACATAATAAATAAATGATTTTTTTTTTTAAAAAAAGAATGATGGAATGTTGGATAGTGGTGATGGTTGGCAGGTAGACCAGCAAAGTTCATTTCTGTGAGCACTTTAAATGGTGGGTGATTTTGTTTTTTATAGTATATGATTTTTTTTCAGGCAGGTTCTCAATATATAGTCCCGTTTGCCTGGAATTTGTTGTATGGACGAGGCTAATCTTGAAATTTTAGCAATCTTCTTGCCTCTTTCCAAATTCCGGGATTACAGGCATAAGTCATTGTGCCTGCCTTAATACTTTATTTTATTTTTTTTAAAAATTCAGCAATTTAAAAATGAAATGATTAGAAAATGAGACATTAGGCTGGAGAGACAGTCAGTGATTATAGTACACACTGCTCTTGCAGAGGACCCAGCTTCAGTCCCCAGAACCCACATGACACCTCGTAAGTGCTGGTAACTCCAGATCCAGGGGATAAGCCTCTGACCTCATGTGCACATATCCTCAGACACACATATATGCACGATTAAAAATAAGTCTTGGGCTGGAGAGATGGCTCAGTGGTTAAGAGCATTGCCTGCTCTTCCAAAGGTTCTGAGTTCAATTCCCAGAAACCACATGGTGGCTCACAACCATCTGTAAAGAGGTCTGATGCCCTCTTCTGGCCTGTAGACATGCACACAGACAGAATATTGTATACATAATAAATAAATAAATATTTAAAAAAAATAAATAAATAAAATAAGTCTTTATCCCCCCCACACCCCCCAAAAATAGAAAAAGAGCCAGGTGGTGGTGGCACACGCCTTTAATCCTAGCACTTGGTACGCAGAGACAGGTGGATCTCTGTGAGTTTGAGGCCAGTCTGGTCTACAGAGCAAGTTCCAGGACAGGCTCCAAAGCTATAGAGAAACCCTGTCTTGAAAAAAAAATCAGAAAAAAAGAAAAAGAAAATGAGACATCTCCTAGAAGACAGAAGACATACTGGTGGTGAATTAAATGCATGAAAAATTGGTCAGTGTTACCTAAAATGATTTGTGAATCTGTTATTGTAATATGGCAATATTTTGCCAATTTCTTTTATTTTTTGGCCAGGGGGTTAAGACGAGGTCTCGGTCTTGGTCTTGATCTTGTTATGTAGCCAAGGCTAGTCTTGGATTCCCGATCCTGCTGCCTCCACTTCTCAAGTGCTTTGAGTTACAGGTGTATGCCTCCATATCCGGTTTACGTTTCCTTTTTTGGCAGTACTGGTGATAGAGCCTATAGCATCATGTGTAGGAGGCAAGTGCTCTACCACAGAGCTACAGCCCTAATCCCCGTTTAGCAGTTTCTCAGAAATCTTATGCTATACATCCCAGCATGTAGGCAGAGGCTGCTTGTTTGTTTTCTGGCTGTTTAGACCTGAAATAATCACACAGAAACTGTATTAATTAAAACGTCGCTCAAAAACTTAAAGAAAACCAGCCTACAAATCACAATCCCAGAGAACCTAGACAACATTGAGGACCCTAAGAGAGACATACATAGATCTAATCTACAAGGGAAGTAGAAAAAGAAAAGATCTCCTGAGTCAATTGGGAGAGTGGAGACCATGGGAGAGGGTTGAAGTGGAGGGGAGCAGAGGGAGCCGAGAAAAATGTAGAGTGCAATAAAAATCAATAAAATTAAAAAAGATATTGCTTCGCCTATTAGCTCAGGCTTCTTATTAACTAACTCTTGTATCTCAAATTAACTCATTCCTATTATTTTGTATTTTACCATGAGGTTAGTGGTTTATCAGTAAGGTTCCCGCGGCATCTTTCTCCTCTGGCAGCTGCTGGTGTCTCTGACTCCGCCTATTTTCTATATCTCTGTTTGAGTTTCCCACCTGGCTTTACTCTGCTAAGCCACAGGCTGAAACAGCTTCTTTATAACCAATGGTAATAAAACATATTCCTAGCATATAGAGGGCAATCTCACATTATTAGCATTCTTACTTCTAGGCATTTATTCCAGAAAGTGGTCAAAAGAAACGAGACATTCTAGGAGAGGATAGCAAATGAACTGCTTAATATGTTAGACTGCGCGCATGCTTTTCCCCCAAACTTCTGTATTTGCAGTCTCGTTTGAGATGAGTTAAGGTCATGTGCACTTAAACTATACTGCTATTCGGTCTCTCTCCTCTACTCACACACTTGTTCCTTTCCTTGCTGCTTTTTATCCTATGAGCTCCTTGGCGCAACTTGGTCTGGGCTCGTCCTCTCCTAGGCCTCCTGGGCAGTTCTCCTGTGCCAGCAGTGTTTTTCTTTACATGTGAAACTCTAATTTGGGCTTCTGATAACAGGCTCCTTTGTTTTTGCTTATGTAGATGGTCTTCCCAAAAACCAGGGGCAGAATTGCTTATGTTTTTTTTGTTTTTTGTTTTTTTTTTTTTCAAAACATGGTTTCTCTGTGTAACTCTGGCTGTCCTGGAACTCACTCTGGAGACCAGGCTGACCTCGAACTCAAGAGATCTATCTGCCACTGCCTCCTGAGTGCTGGAATTAAAGGCTTGTGTCTCCATGCCCAGATTTTTTTTTTTGCTTATATTTTTTGTGTAATAAGTCTAGTTGGGCCTCCAGGACAAGACTGTCTCTTTAAATACAGGGAGAAGGGCTGTAGATTTTGATCTGAAGCAACCTGTAACTCTGGGGCAATGTAGGAAAAACAGGTTATTGGTTCAGGTTGGGTAAATTTCGCTTTTGAACAGCTTTGCGTTAGAGTTTCCACTGTGTAGCAGAGATGTGCAGTGTCTCCTCTTCCCGTAGGTTCAGGTATAATTATAATTGGACTTGTTTTCCAGATGCTCTGCAGATGAACAGTTAGTGTAGGTGATGTCAGTGAAAGTTGAGAGCGTTGTATTGCTGCAGAATGGAAATGAGTATTAGCTTTAGTTTTCACCTCATGTTACTCTAAGTGTAAGAAAGCTGGACTGCAGAGAGGGTCCCTGTCCTGTGTACAAGAGAGACCAGGGAAGGAGATAAGGATTAGAAATAGAATTTCCTGGAGGATTTGGCCTTGGGAAACATTTAAGGGAAGAGATTTGGGCAGCCAGTTAAGGTGGTTTGTCTCCAGGGACCCTCTTGCTAGTGTGTCTCTGGCAGGTGTACTTCTTTGTGTTGCTCTGTCTTGGGGGCAGGAGGGAATGTAGAGGGATGCCGGGCAATGGGTCTCTGTATGAGCCCCACTGTTGGAGGCTTCATTGATCTGTCTTCTGAGGGTGAGCACTTGACTAGTGGAGCTGTTGTGAGCCCTTTTGCACCTGTATCAACAGCATTCAGCAGCTGCCTCTGTTCACTCCCCAGTAAACAGACCTGCAGAGACTGCCTTGTACCCTCAGAGGCTCCTAGACTGGAGAAGTGCCTGGGCACCTTAAGTCTAGTACTTCTAGGAAGGTAGAAGGAGTAGTGACCATTCCTTTGATTTGTGAATTTGCTACAATATGACTCCTTTCTGATTTCTGGTCTTGACACTTGAGGTGCCCTCTTTACAGTCTGGGTTGTCGTCAGTGAGCTTATTCAAGCCAGGACACATGTCTGAGCAAGTTCCCAATAGCACAGACAAAGGACACAGCAATGTGAACAGAAGTGAATTTAAACTTGAATCCCACTAGAGAACCATACCAAGAAGAGAATCCTAGATCCTTTAGCTTCTATAATAACTTCCTATTTTCTTTGATTGGTTTAAGATTGGCAGCAAATAACAGAAATTAACTTAAACTAAGCTAGGACAAGAAAAAGGATTTATGGGAAGGTTAAGGGATGACACAGATTGGAAAAAAAAGTTGACGAGCCAGTCTTCAGAAAGGACTGGGGCCAAAACAGCCTGGGGATCTTGGGAACAAACCTCTGTGGGGTGAATAAACGCCACCAGTAATACCCAGTTCTTTCTCCATTCTGTTCAGAGGCCAGTGTCCAGGCAGTGAGGCCCAGCTGGTATGACCGGACTCAAGGCGGTGCACTTTGACTGATAACCAGGCCTGTGGACCTTGTAGGAGCCAGTGAGTTCCAATGGGCTGCTGTTACTTTAAAAAGGAGACAGCTGGCAGCAGGCGGTAACAGTAGGATTCATCTGCCCTCGGCTCCTAAGGAACAACTGTGGGACCAAGAGCAGAGGCTGCAACCTAACATTGCTGCCTTTGAGTAAGTGTGTGGTGACTGCTATTCAAGGTCTGAAGCTTTCTGGTGTTTTTGTTATTGAGGACAGATGATACTGAACAGTCTTTATTAGTAATCATTGTTTGTTCAGGAATGTGTTTGGGGGTTGTGCATTTCTTTGCCAAGGTTTCCCTAAGGATTCTCTCTGTGTGGCCTGTGCACAGAAGAGGATGGTCAGAGCACCCGTTTGACAGAGCAGCTGCCTCTGGGGAGCTGGGATGTGTGCGGCTCAGTAGTAGAGCATTTGCTGAGTCTTTGTTTGCTGGGTTTGATCCTTAGCATCTGCATAAACAAAAACAAAACCCCTAATATGAACAAAGGCTTGTCTGGCTAGACTGGCGAGCGTGGCTGAGTGTTTAGAGCTGCAGGACCTTCCACAGCTCTGTTATTTATGACCTAGTGACCTGTGATGCCCGACATCTAACGACCAAAAAAGCCACCTGAAACAGTTGCTCCAAGCTCATTGTCTCATGCCAGTGAAATTAAAGAGGTGGACTGTTGAGGGAGTTTGCAAAGTAGAAACAGGCTTTATTAACAATAATTACAGAAAAGTACAAAGTTGGGGAAATGTGAGAAATTAAGCAAAAGCAATAGAAACTCCTGAAAGAGAGAAGGGTTTTCAAGAGAAAAAGCCACTGAATTTTGTAGTTTAGAGGTTTTATAGGGTTATGGCAAAGACTAGATGAAGACCAAGGTAACTGCTGTGAGATTGGTTAGTTCTCTGTGTTACTCTGGGTGGAGCCAGTGGAGGGGTCCACAGGATCTATGCATGGCCCCCTGGCCCAACCAGGGAGATGAACTGTCGTGCACTGTTGATGTGCACTCTCTGAGTTAGGAGTGGTTGAAGCCCCCTCTATCCAACTGCAGGTTTGTTAGTCATTGACCTTGACTGTCTACTCACTATTGCTATTAGTCTCTTGGCTGATGTTACGGCCCTGCAGCCTTGCAGGTTCCAAGTGCTGTTAATTAAACTAGGCTGTGTTTTCACATTTAGACAACCAGCCTGTAGCATGACCACAGCAGAGTGTTACCTCTCTCCAGCCACCATTTGTAGCTGCAGTCTTTCTTTGTTGCCTCATGTTAGCTCCGTGTCTATGGGGTGCTCTGAGGTGCTCTTCCAGGCAGGAATGTCTCGTTAGAACCCATCCTTACAGTTCAGTCTGTTAGGATTTGCTGCGTTAGAGGCAAGGCTAAGAGAAAGGATAATGGTGTCTTACGTATGTTTCTCAATTGCTTCTGCAGGGCGTGGGTGGAGAGCTGGCCACAAGCCCCATCCTTCCTCTTATCTGACTAGCTTGGTTTTCTCATACCCAGCTATAAAGCCCACTTACTCACCTTCCTTAGTGTTCCAGGCCTTGCTATGCTAATCCCCTCCCTTTTTCCACCCTAGACAGGCAGGGTTTTTCTGTAGTTTTGGAGCTTGTCCTGGAACTAGCTCTTCTAGACCAGACTGGCCTCAAACTCACAGAGATCCACCTGTCTCTACCTCCTGAGTGCTGGGATTAAGGGCTTGCGCCACCACCATCTACTTTCTAACCCTAATCTTCTTTTAAACCCTAACCTCTATTCTTACTGCAACATACATGAGCAGCTTAGAGGTTTTTCTTTTCTTTTTTTTTTTTTTTTTTTACCATGAAGAGCTAGCTCTTGTATCAAAATAGCAGCTTATAGTCACTTACAAAGGTACCAAGGTTGTTGTGTGTGCATGTGCTTATATTGAGACTCATTCTCCAGACCCTACATATCCTGAAACTAGTCCCTAGCCACATAACTGCCACCTCCCATTGGCAGTTCTGGTGTGCAGGACCAAGTATTTAATGTTTTATTTTATTTTATTGTATGCGCATGTATGTCTGTATGAGGGTGCCGTTATCCCACTTAACTGGAGTTGCAGACAGGTGTGAACCGCTATATCATGCTGGAAATTGAACCCAGGTCCTCTAGGAGAGCAGTCAGTGCTCTTAACCACTAAACGGTCTCTCCAGCCCCCAATACTTAATGTGAATTTGCTTTTTTCCCTTTTGGTTAGGTACCTGCAAATGATGTTCATTGTCATTGGTATGCAACATCTTCCGGGCTGATCCATGGTCACTCTCCGGGATGGCAACAAGGTGACTTAGCTGAGGATGACCTTGACTGAAAGGCTGCGTGAGAAGATATCTCAGGCCTTCTACCACCATGGGCTGCTCTGTGCATCCTATCCCATCCCCATCATCCTCTTCACAGGCCTCTGCATCTTAGCCTGCTGGTATGTTCCTAATTCGCCCTCTGTGTGGTAGAGCAGTGTCATGTGACAATAGACTTCGCTAAACCTAACTGATGGAGCTCTTGGACCCTGTATATTCTTATATAGTGGGAATTAATAAGGATACTCATTGAGGCTGCATACTCGAGAGTTCTGGGGGAAATTTGTTTTTTTTTTTTTTTTTTTGGTTTTTCAAGACAGGGTTTCTCTGTGGCTTTGGAGCCTGTCCTGGAACTAGCTCTGTAGACCAGGCTGGTCTCGAACTCATAGAGATCCACCTGCCTCTGCCTCCCGAGTGCTGGGATTAAAGGCGTGCGCCACCATCGCCCGGCTCTGGGGGAAATTTGTAATGGCTAATAAGACAACATTTTTTTTTTTTTAAAGAAGCTAGTCCATGTTGGTCTGACAGAGTGATAGCCCAGATTTGTTCATAACACCCGTGATGATTTTCTCTTTCTAAGAAGCTTCAGGGTAGTTGAAGGGCATAATCTTTTATTTTTCTTTCCTAGCAGTAGCAGCTTCCCTTTAGTGTTAGTTGGTAGCAGGAGCCTTCCGCACAGCAAGGTGAGGAGCTCACTGGGTACTATCTACAGGCTGACTTCTCTGCACACTTGTCACTTCCTCATGATTGTGGGGAGCCTTCTTCTGGTCCCTTGGGACCTGCTATATTGTCAGGGTCTGTGCTTAAAGCCATGGATGCTTGTGTTTCTTGCCTGTTTTTCACAGGCCTTGTAGAAGCCTGAAGACTGACTATGACTTTGTAAAATGAGGGTCTTGATGTCAGCTTTACACTGTCAGCCATGTAAAGAGCCCATCTTACTACCGTTTTTCCTAGAAAGAATTCTTTTGTCCAGGCTGGGTTGTAGCTTAATGGTAGACCTTTGCTTGGCATGCTCAAAGCTCTAGGTTCAACTGCTAGCTCCAAAAGGAAAAAAAAAAGTTTTCTGGATTCACTGTGTACAATGCTGTGCTAGAACTAGTCTGGCTCAAGGCTGAACCTCCTGTTCAGATCTGCTGTAAATGATCCCAGACCCCCCCCAATCCACAATAAGAAGGATGAGTATCATTCATTGAGTGTTTCCTGCCTAGTGCCATATTGGTGATTCAGAAATATAGTTAAACTTCTCACTTGGTTTCACAGTACTTAGGAAATGGTCCAGTTGCACTTTCATCCCACAAGGTGGGTAGGAGTATAGTGATTCTGGTTCCTACCACTGCTAAAGAGGGAAACTGGGCCCTGAGAATGGTGGTGCCTGCTCCTGTGGCCTCTCTTACCCGACTTTTCATTCTAGCTCAGTGTATATTGATGTTTAAAATCTACCAAACTGTATGGCATATGATACTCTACGTGATGAATTAATAATTAATTTTACTTTATGTACATTGGTGTGAGGGTTCCAGATTCCCTGGAACTGGAGATACATACAGTTGTGAGCTGCCTTGTGGGTACTGGGAATTGAACCTGGGTCCTTTGGAAGAGTAGCCAGTGCTCTCAACTGCTGAACCATCTCTCCACCCCCCCATTCCCCCAGTTCCCCCAACTCTACCCAAATTTTTTTTTTGAGGATGAACTACTTCCCATCATAGTAGGTTCCTCCTCCTCCTCTTCCTCCTCTTCCTTCTCCTTCTTGCAGTTTCTTGAACAGCTTCCCTGTTTATATGACAAACTAACTGGGCATCTTTAAAAATTGTTCCCTGCGGGGAGGGGGGGAAAAAAGAAAAAAAATGTTCCCTGAATTTTTTTTTGTTTGTTTTTTCGAGACAGGGTTTCTCTGTGGCTTTGGAGCCTGTCCTGGAACTAGCTCTGTAGACCAGGCTGGTCTCGAACTCACAGAGATTCACCTGCCTCTGCCTCCCGAGTGCTGGGGTTAAAGGCGTGCGCCACCATCGCCCGGCCCCTGCATTTTATTTATTCATTTTGTGTGCTTATGTGGAAGTCAGAAGAAAGCTTTCTGTTCATTGTGTGGGTCTGATAGATGGCGTTCAAGTCCATCTTGTAAGGTGTCTTTACCTACTGAGCCATCTCAGCAGCCTTCACTGAATGTCGTTTAGCATATTAGTTAGTGCATTTGGCATGGATAACACACAGGCTGCTACCATTAAAAGGCTAACCAGATGGCTCTGGAAGCATAGACCTGTTCTGAAGGCCTGAGCAGTTTCTCACACTTGATACCAGAAGGGGAGCTTGAGACTCAGAAGCTGATTTACAGCGTGACACGCTGTCAGGCCTGTCAGAGTGTGGTTTCTTCACCCTCATACTTCAGGTTGTACTCTTGGGGATGGCTTCTGTGGCCATTGTTTCCGGGGTGCTTTCCCACGTAGGGATTTGGAGACAGGCTGCTTTGTCTGAGCCATGGTGTGCAGACGCCCTTCCTTATTTTCCTTCTCCTCAGACAGGGGCTCATTGAGATCTTGGACCTAAGCATCCAAACCTCAATCTCATTTTCTAGTCTGTGGAGTTTTTCAGTTGAAACAGCCCCCTTTCTGTCAGAGCCTTGAGTTGCCCAGAGAAAACAAAGCATAGGTAGAGCCAGCTTTTAGTAATTGTGTTGGATGTCCAGGTTCCATTTCATTGCTGGTTTTTATTCCGTAGATAAGATTTGTTAAGTCTAGACCCAAAGGACCTCTGCATTTAATACCCCTACAGATCCCGCAGCTGCCTGAGCTATAGCAGTATAGTTGTGCATCACCAGTTCATCCCAAGTCCCTCAAGAGGAGCAGAGCCGTACTAGAGGGCTTTGTGACTGAGGACTGCTTAGGGATGTGCCTTTCTCCATCAGGCTGAAGAATCAGGGACTAGAGGGCTTTGTGACTGAGGACTGCTTAGGGATGTGCCTTTCTCCATCAGGCTGAAGAATCAGGGTTTGGGAGTCTGTGTGTTTAGGAGTTAGACTCCCCTCAGACAGCACCAGGGCTCTGGTGTTCTCTAAGCTGGCGCTGGGGCTCTGGGGTAAGTGACTGAGACCTGAGGTTACTCCTTCCAGTAGTTTGAACACCAAGCCTTCCTTGTATGTGGGTTTTGGTAAACTCTCCTGCCTGATTCCTAAGTGCAGTAACTATTTCTTCCCTCCTCTGGGAAAATCTGATGAAACCTATAGCAAATAGGCATTGTAGCAAAGGGTGTGTTTATATTTCCTAGAGGTTAAGGCTACTGGGACCCAAGGGGGTGACCCAGCAAGAAAGGAGACTTTGCCGTAGACCTTCCCTGGTAAGGAATGTATGTGGGGGTACACTTTGAGGTGAAGGAAAAGGGTAGACTTCGGCTCAGAGAGGATGTTAGTATCACAGTGAGGTCATACTAAGCCTCCTGAGGATGATGGTCATGCAGTTGTTTGAGAACAGACTTGGTTCCTTTCCCTCTTCCCTCTTGCTTTTTTTTTTTTCTTTTTAATTTTGAGACAGTTTCTCTGTGTAGTCTTGGCTGGACTCGAACTTACAGAGATCCTCCCGCTTCTGCCTCTTGAATGCCGAGTTAAAAGTGTGCGTCACTACTGCCCAGCCCCTCTTGCTTTTCTTTTTGTGAGTGACTGGCACCTTCAGCTGAGGCTGTGTTTCCCAACCCCTTTCCGCTTTTCTCCCTGCAGCTCAGGTTGTCCTGTGATTGTCTTTGGGATCACACAGTTGCCTCTGTCTGCTTAGACACATCTATATGTTCTTCTTACAAATAAAAACATCAGAGTAGTTTAAGCCTGTCTGGGCTTAAAGTTAGGTGGCCCAGACTGGCTGAAATCGAAGTTTCAAAGAACCTCCGACCTTCTGCTCTAAAGCTTCGACTCTGGAGACGCCCAGAGGCCAGCTCTGCACCTGCTCCATGACACTGGCTGGTTGAACATTCAAAACCAGAGCCTCTTCTGGTCTCACATACAGACCCTGTAAAAACTCCCAAAGCTTGTAGAAATCAAAGACTGCTTCCTCACCCAAGATTTACTCAAGTAGAAGGTAAAAGAGAAGGGAATGGCAGCCATGACCATTCTCTAATCTTTATATCTGCTATTTCTTCCAGCCTACCCTTTAGTCAGTCTTTTACTGTCCTATTCTCCTAATCCTGTATTGTTCACTCCTGGGACATGAAGATGAGTGCAGGAGGGAAGGGGTGAAGGCCTGGGGCCACGCTGGGTTTGGGAGATGACTTATATTTCCCAGCACTTGGGAGGTAGAGGTAGGTAGTTCTCTGTGAGTTCAAGGTCAGCCTGTTCTGCAAAACAAGTTTCAGGCCACCCCAGGGCAGCGCAGTGAGACTTTGTCTCATAAACAAAAACAAATGGCTGGAGAGGTGACTCAGTCTTCTACTTGAATAATGGAAATGACATCCAGACCTAAGCCAAACTTGGTAGGTAGTACATGCCTATAATCCCAACACTTACAGGATAAAGTTAGGAGGATCAAGAATTTAAGTCAGCCTCAGCTATCTAGTAAATTCAAGGCCAGTCTAGACTTAACTCAAAATAAACAAAAACCTTCCAAAACACAAAAAGCAACAACGAGGTCATTAAGGAAAGGAGGCTCAACACTGCTGAAAACAGCTAGAACGATAACTTCACCCAGCAGCCTTAGAGTACACTTACCACTGAATGCGCATACCACGGGACAGACGAGGTGCTAGGGTACAAAGAGATGTTAATTTTAAAACTTCCAAAATGTCTCTTTTTTGGTCACAGTAGAATAAAACCAAAATAAGATCAGTAACAGAAAGAAAACAGGAGAATTCACAAATTTACAGAAACTAAAACCAATGAGTCAAAGAAATGAGGAGTTAGAAAAAACCTTGAGATGATGAAAATAAAAATCATAGCAATACAATATACTGTAAGAGGTCCTTCCCTCGGGCTCTCTGACCCCAGTGACCTTATAATGGTAGGAAAACACCTATAACTGAGAGAAAGCAGTATTTAGAAAACCCGTTTCTGGGGACTTACAGGCAGCGACAGAGCATGTGTTTACCATGTATGGGATTACAGTAACATTCAGGCTGGAGGGACACAGCATTGAAGCATCCTGACTGCTAGGATGCCTAAGAGTCCTGGCACCAAGGGAAACCAACAGATAGATGGACAGGATGACCCCTGGGTCTGGCATGACCATTAGATTGGTGACTGGGTGGCCTAGCCCCAAGGACTGTGGTGGTTAGGTGACAGACTGGCATAAATGAAGAGTATAGAAGTTTAATTAACAGGAAGTTGTCTGGGTAATCTATAGCTTGGAGTGACCTGGCCCTAATTCTCAGCCCTGAATTACTGCATATAAATCCTCTGGTGTGGTTTTAGGTCTTCCCTATTGTTGTTCTTTTTAAAAAATGCTGCAAGATCCCCGGTGGCAGTAGGCAGCAGAAATGCTGTAGGTCCCAAATGGTGGCGGCGGACCATGTGGTGGCAGGCAGCGGGGTCTGGGAGCAGCCAGTCCCAGGCAGAAATGGCTGCCGATCCCAGAGTGGTGGCCTGAGCGGTGGCGGCAGACAGCAGGCCCTGGGAGCAGCCAGTCCCAGGCAGAGACAGCTGCTGGTCCCAGAGCAGTGGTGGCGGGCCATGTGGCAGCAGGCAGTGGTGCCTGGGCAGAGAAGGCTGCTGGTCCCCGAGCAATGGCTGGTTCCAGGCAGGGAGACACATGGTGGGCGGGCAGAAGACAGAAACATGGATAGACACGACATGCAGGGTGAGGTTGAATGTTCATTCAGGGGGTAATGGAGGAGGAAGGGTGAAGGGGGGACAGAGAGAGAGGGAGGGAGAGAGGGAGGGAGGGAGAGAGAGAGAGAGAGAGAGAGAGAGAGAAGGGGGGAAGCAGAGAAGTGGGGAGAGAGGCAGAAGCGAAACTGCCTCTCCGAGAGGAAGATGGAAAAGAGAGCGAGCTCAGGCCCGAAGCTGAAGATCAGCCTGCCTCAGTGGATGGGGAGGGGAATGGGTGTGGCTTGTCTCTTAAAGAGACCAAAACCATAACACCTATTTCCCAGGTAAGTCTCTCTCCCTTGTTTAATACACTTTACAGCTTATCTGGCCTGTTTCTGCTCCCCACTGGAATGTAAATCTTGAGAGCAGAGCTCTTGTCTGTCTTGTGCACCTTTGGGCCTTGCACAATGTCTGGCTCTGTGTTAATGCTCAAATATTTGCTTAAAGAATGACTACTGAAGCCAGACGATGGTGGTGCACGCTTTTAATCCCAGCACTCGGGAGGCAGAGGCAAAGGGATCTCTGAGTTCAAGGCCAGCCTGGTCTACAAGAGTTAGTTCCAGGACAGGCTCCAAAGCTACAGAGAAACACTGTCTCGAAAAACAAAACCAAACCAAACAAAAACAAACAAACAAAAGAATGACTACTGAGAAAATTTCCCAGGCAACTGGCTGCCTATTATTGGTGACAGAACTGCCAGGACTGGGTGGTTAGGAAGCCACATCCAGAAAGGAGGCAGAAGTGAACTACACACAGATCTCTGCCAAGGAAACTTCCCTCTAGCCTGCTGCATTCCTCTAGGTTAGACATGTCTTATTGCAGGATGACAGCTAGAGGAAAGCAGACCCTCATTTTCTCAGATGCTTTCCTCCTCTTTAGTCTTTGCCAGAAGGTTGTGCTGTGTAGCCCAAGCTTCTGCTTTTATGGCCTAAAATTAAAAGCAGATTGCAAAATAAATATGTGTAAACCAAAATTCAAGAACCTTCAACATCAACACCATACACACATACACAACACACCCAACAGAAAAATCCAGCCAGCCAGGCCTGGTAGTACACCTATAAATCCCACCATCTAGAGTGCTAAGTGAGTTCAAGGCCAGTGTGGGCTACTAGGAAGATTTTATTTCAAAACAAATATCAGTGATTGTAATGACCTTGTTTTGTTTTTTTCTAAAGCTGTGGTTAGCAAGGTTACCTCTAGATTTTTTATTTATAAAATTTTCATTTTAATGTATATGTCTGCATGAGTATATGCCACTTGTTTGGGTGCCGGTCTAAGTCAGAAAGTCCTCTGGAGTTGAAGTTACAGATGAATGTGAGCCACCCAAAAGAGTGCTGGGGACTGAACTCAGTTCCTCTGGAAGAGATGAACTCTTACTCTTGAGTCAGCTCTCTGGCCTCCATAGCCTTATTCTCAGTAGCTTCAACTAGAAACAGCCAAGTGTACCTTGACAGTGAAGTAGGCTCGTGTCCTGTAATCTGTTCAATGGAATAGTACATACCTATACCTATGATGTCAGGCTTTTTTTTTCTGGTAGTGCTAGGGGTTGACATAAGGCCTTATACATGCTAGGTAAACACTCTACCACTGACTTACATCCCAGCACCAAAACAAATGAAAACAGTAACTTGAGTTTCTAGTGGGAGAGACTGTAGTTACTGTTTCTGGAAGTCATGGGGTGTTTGTTGACTCAGGGCTGTCTTCTGAGGTTCTGGAAGTGTTCTGTGTCTTGAGATAGGTAGTGATTAGTAACACAGATGCATAAATGAGAACTCAGTGCTCTATACATGAAGTGTGTGCATTATACTCTATGTAAGTTGCTTCTTTTTTGTTCGCTTATTTTCAGGAGAGCATCTCAGTATCTTAGCATAGGAAGGCCTCAGAATTGCCACCCTCTTGCCTCAGCCCTGTTATACAAATTACTTCTGAATATTAAAAAGATTTTAGGCTGGGTGTAGTGCTGGAAGCTTTTAATTCCAGCTAGGTAGGTAGGTAGGTAGGTAAGTAGATAGATAGATAGATAGATAGATAGATAGATAAAAATTTTAAATGAGACTTGAAACATTATACACATCTATTTAACATGGACTGGTATAATCTATATCCTTCATAATTTTTGTGATCTATCCCTTTAATAAAACAGAGCATAAATCTTTAATAAATAAATAAAACAGAGCAGTTGCTCAGTTATCTGAATCAGAATTCCCCTGGATTTGTATTCTCCCCCCTAGTTTTTTTTAATTATCCTGTATCTGTTTGACAATGTTTTAATTTGTTTTTAACATCTTGTCTAAAATATCAGAAAACATTTAGCCAGCCTGTTATATTAGTTGGGTTTCCTTGTAGGCTTTGTGGCTAAAATAAATTTGAAAAATTCTGATCTAGGTGACTTCTGAATTTCAGTAAATGATGTTCTTATATACTTCTAGGAAAGGGACTGCAGTTGGAACTGCAGTGGCTCCTGTGTCGCCACCACCTCACAGCAGACTCTGCCTCTCAGATGTCCTCATTCTTCCCTCCTTTCCCTTCTCCCCAGCTACCCTCTGCTGAAGCTCCCCTTGCCTGGAACGGGACCCGTGGAATTCTCTACTCCTGTGAAGGATTACTCACCCCCGCCTGTGGACTCTGACCACAAACAAGGAGAGCCCAGTGAGCAGCCAGAGTGGGTAGGTGCTCAGCTTGTCACTGAGGAGAGCTCTAGCAGAGAGCTGATTGGTGGAGCCAGACTCTGCAAATGACAGTGAGAGTGGTCAGCTTCAGATTAGTGAATTCATGTACTCGCCTGCTTTACGAAGGCACCAGAAGTATTTAGTTGTGCATGTAATGAGTAACCTTTATTGAAGGAACACATTTAGTGATGCCAAGTGTGAGTGTCCTAGAAGAACTGGGATTTTCAGCTGTCCTATCAGTGGCCAGCTGACCTCGGTCATACCTGGCTTACTCACAGAGCGTGTGCAGGGACCAGATAACATGCCGTCTCCTGATCCTAGGTAGTCAGCAGAACAGCGGAGCATCTCCAGAATATTCTAGCCTCAGAACCCCAACACTGCCTGGTTGTTGCAAAGGCTGACTCATTTTCTGATCAGTTAGGTATTTTTTATCTTCATAATCCAATCAGGTGGTTTAAAAAGTACAGGTTCTACTTATTTTTTAAACAGGAAGGTTGGGACCCAGAAAGTAATTAAGTGCCTCAGTTACTTGATTTCCAAGAGTTAACGTGGGGTTAGAACTCTTTGTTCTCCCAGTCCTAGCCTGTTGGACTGTACTGTTGTCACTTGATGAGGTTTTTTTTAATGTAATTTTTTAATTTAATTTTTATTTTATGTGCATTGGTGTGAGGTTGTCAGATCCCCTGGAACAGGAGTTACAGACAGTTGTGAGCTGCCATGTGGGTGCTGGGAATTGAACCCCAGTCCTCTGGAAGAGCAGTCAGTGCTCTTAACCACTGAGCCATCTCTCCAGCCCCACTTGATGAGTAGTTGAAGAGCTCGCACTTGGACCCCACTCAGTGTGAGCTCTACACTCACTGTGCAAAGCTCATAAGCTTGACCAGCTCATCTGGACATCTTACCTACTGTGTAAGGACATAGGGTGGTGTTGGGCTCGCTGGGCTTTTGAGGAAAAGAAAAGCTTGAAACAGAGCTCTTCTTCTCTACCTCTTTCTAGTTTCTTTCTGGTTAATGCCAGCTAACTAGTTAGGAGTTTGACTCTCCTGTTATTGAACTAGGACACACTGTTAAGAGAGGTGTGTTACAGTTTCTCATTTTGTCCATGAGAAATTTTCTGTGCTCACCAGTACTGTGCCTGTGGTGGTCAGAGGACACATGGTATGAGACCATCTAGTTCTGGGGATTTCCTAGCAGGTTTGGTTCCTAGACACACATCAGGTGGTTTACACTCATCTGTAACTCTAGTTCCGGGAGATTGTATGCTCTCTGGTCTCTGAGGGAACCTTCACACGTAGTGCATGTAAACTCGTGCAGGCACACACACGCATATATATTTGAATTCAGGTGGTGGTGCACTCCTTTAATCCCAGTACCCAGGAGCAGAGGCAGGAGGATCTCTGTGAGTTCGAGGCCAGTATGTCTACAGAGCGAGAGAGCCGGGATACCAGGGCAACACAGAGAAACCCTGTCTCAAAAAAAAAAAAAAAGAAAAGGTTTTTTTTTGTTGTTGTTGTTTTGTTTTGTTTTTTAAGTAAAGAAAGCATTTTGTGTTCTATATCCCAGGTTGGCCATGGTTTATGGTTGTTTCTTGACTAGTAGAATTCAGTGGGCCTGTTTGTACATGATCAGTGTATTTATGGACTTCCCTTAGTACCTTTCACTGGCCTTGGGTGGTGGCAATGAACATCTGTGCAGAGCACTTTAAGGTCTAAACAGTCAGATAATTATTTAGTTTTTCTCTTACAAGCTCTGTCCCTGAGTGATTAAGAGACTTGGGGCTTAGTGCTGTGGCCCAATATTATATAACTCAGTGATGAGTTACCACACAAGGTGACTCAAGTTACACACAAGGTGTGGCTACAGATGATAAAAACAGAAGCCCACAATAGAGTGTAAGAACCATTTCAGTTATAAAGAACAGAAAACCCACTGAGGCCAGCCTGGTCTTGGAGTGAGTTCCAGGACTGGCTTCATTAGCTACTGGGAAACTTGTCTCGAAAAACCAAAAAAACCAAACAACAACAACAAACCCAAAACAGAAACCCAACTCAAAGCAGAATGAGTGAAAAAGAAAGACTACTTTCTCCAAAAAACAAAAAATAAAACAAAACAACAACAACAAAAAAGACGACTTTGCGTAACTCCTAGGCAGAGGCAGAAAGGCCTTATATACTCACTACCTGGCCAGGTTCTCAGGAATTCATCTCTCAGATCTGTCCCCTTGGGACCAGTCTCATCTCCGTCTTTCTAACTGTGGCAGGAAGAGCTTCAGCACTGTGTGTGTGCAGCAGCAAATCTAGAGGATGATCAATTCATTCAGACCCTGTCCCCAGGGCACCTACCTTTGTTGCTCATGTCATCACCCAGCCAAGCGGGACAAATTATGGCTCCTGGAGAAAAAGTTGAAGGCTTGGGCACTGGGACATACACAGCAGCCACCACCCATCCACACCAGAGAGCTACAGCCTTGTCCTCCTCCTCCTGCTCTGCTCTTGCCTTTGTGCTGTCTTTTACAGTTTCTATTGCTGTGAGGAGACACCATAACCATGACAACTCTTAGAAAGAAAACATTTAATAGAGGGTGGTTCATTTACAGTTTCAGAGGTTAAGCTCATTATGATCATGAAAGGGAACTTGGCAGCGTGCAAGCAGATGTGGTGTTGGACCTGAGAGTGCTACATCTTTTTTTTCTTTTTTGGTTTTTTGAGACTGGGTTTTTCTGTAGCTTTGGAGCCTGTCCTGGAACTAGCTCTTTTTAGACCAGGCTGGTCTCGAACTCGCAGAGATCTGCCTGCCTCTGCCTCCTGAGTGCCAGGATTAAAGATGCCACCACTGGGCAAGAGTGCTACATCTTGCAGGTAACAGGAGCAACTGACTATCACACTAAGGGAAGCTTGAGAAAAAGAGACCTCAATGCCCGCTCCCACAGTGACACACTTTATCCAAAGCCTCATCTCCTAATAATGCCACTCCCTGTGTGGGCCATTTTCTGGCAAACTACCACATGGCATAAACCAGAATGCTATGGAGACAGCTCAAGGTGTTATAATTTTAAAAATGGCAGGTGGCAGCCCTATGACCGGTGAGAGAGAGACAAGCCATGCAGACAGTGCTCACAGGGAGAGTTTTATTGAGGGGAAGGAGTGGGGAGAGGAGAAAGGGAAAGCAGAGAGGCCTCGTCGGGGGAGGGAAAAAGAGAGGAAGTGGGCGAGGTTCTGCCTTTTAAAGGGAGGAGTGCAGTGCCCGTGCACAGAGATCACACAGCAGGCTACGGTAACTGGGCATGCACTCGGGGTGGTGCACTCTGCCAGGTCTCCAAGGGGTGGGCCAGGCATGCCTGAATGCCAACATTACACAAGGTCTAATCCTTGAGATCTCACCCTGGTTGTGGAGATAAGATAAAGATTTTTAAAATTTGAAGTATATGTTGAAATGACATGGTGGAGGTAGGACTCTGGAGGAAAGGTCAGTGGTTAAGGGTGCCTATTGTTCTTAAAGTGTACCTGAGTTCTGTTTCAACACCCACATCTAACTCCTGTTCCAGGAAATCCACACCCTCTGGCCTCTGCAGGCACACATATTTTTTTAAAATAAGGTTTGATGTTGCTTAGGATGACCTCAACCTGTGTAGCTAAGGCTGATCTTGAACTCCTAATTCTTTCATCTCAAGTACTGGAATACAGGCATGTTTCACCATACCCAACTTGTCTGCTTCTCAAGTGTCTAGAGACTTCCTTCCACAGAGCACAGGCAGGTAAGAATATGTGCAGTAGAGAACTTGGCAGGCAAGTCCTCAAGAAAGTGATGGAGGTTGAAGAGAACTGGTTACCTCTGGAGTCTTCCTCCCAGATGTATAGCTGTAGTCTACTTAGTAAAACATCAAGCGATCCTAGTTGAGGGACTCCCTATGAAATACCTGATCAGCACTCCACAAAGTTTTCAAGGCCACCACAAACAAGAAAAGTCTGAGAAATTGTCACAAGCTAAGAGAAGCCCTTGGTGGCCTGGCATGGTCCATGTTTTCAGATGTTTCAGTCCAAGTTTATGTGACTGTTGCTTTGGGTTTGAGATGAGGCAGAATGTCATAGTGGAAGCAGAGTGGTGGAGGAGCTTGTTCATATCATGAAAGGAAGCAGAGGAAGGGGCAGAGAGGTGAGAGCGTGTGTGTGTGTGTGTGTATGGAGAGTGTGTGTGTGTGTATGGAGAGTGTGTGGGTGTGTGTGTGTGTATGGAGAGTGTGTGTGTATGTGTATGGAGTGTGTGTGTATGTGTATGGAGTGTGTGTGTGTGTGTGTGTGTATGTGTATGGAGAGTGTGTGGGTGCACTGCACATGCATGTCTGCCTGCCCCCAGAAGAAGGTGTCAGATCTCCCAGAGCTAGAGTTATAGGCGCTTGTGAGCTTCCCAGCATGGGAACTGAACTCTAGTTTTCTAAAAGAGCAGCAAATGCTCATAACCACTAAGCCATCGCTCCAGCCCCTACATAGAGTCTAATCATCCTCACCAGGTCCTTGATCCGAGTTCAGCCCACTCTGTATTAGACTTTGTGTGACCTATGACTTTGTAGGATTGGCAAGGGGCAGTTCCCTCTGGGTAGAGAAAGAGAAAGCCGAAACAGTAGAGACTTTCATTTCCCAGTGCACGGCCTTGGGCAAACGACTTCTGTGCCTTCGTTCCCATGTTCATAAAGCAGGGTGGTAATTCTACCTGTGTTGTCATTGTCATAAGGAATAAATGAGAGAGTGCAAACTTAGTGCAGTGCCTGGCCCACCATTAACATCCAGAAAGTGTTTGTGGCTGTAGATCACAGTACATCAGGTCTGACTAGTGTGAGCAGAAAGGAGAAAAGGAAGATTTGTATGCTTGGACTGCTTGTAAGGTAAACTAGGTGTATATGCCTTGGGCCCACCCTCAGCTCAGTGGTTCTGTCTTCAGGAAGCCTGTCCAAACTGCCTTGCACACGTGGATCCTGCTCTTCTCTGTGCTTACCCTGCTGTGCTTTCGAAGTTGCCTTCAGTGAGATTTACATAAATGCCAGCGTTTTACATATCACAGATGCTTAAGAAAGCGTTTCATGGGGGCAGTAGTCGCACACGTCTTTAATCCAGGCACTCAGGAGGCAGAGACAGACGGATCTCTGTGAGTTCAAGGCCAGCCTGGTCTACAAGAGCTTCAGAGAAACCCTGTCTCCAACAAAACAAAACAGCCGGGCAGTGGTGGCGCACTCCTTTAATCCCAGCACTCGGGAGGCGGAGGCAGGCGGATCTCTGTGAGTTCGAGGCCAGCCTGGTCTACAAGAGCTAGTTCCAGGACAGGCTCCAAAACCACAGAGAAACCCTGTCTCGAAAAAACCAAAAAAAAAACAAAACAAAACAAAACAAAAGGAATGATATGGGCTAGAGAGATGGCTCAGCAATTAAGAGCACTTATTACTCTTATGGAAGGCCCAGGTTTGAATCCTAGAACTCCAGTTCCAGGGGATCAGGTGCCCTCTTCTGACCTCCAAGGGCATTAGGCACATATGTGGTGCACACACCTACATGCAGACAAAACATTCATACACTTAAACACTGGGCTTTTTTAAAAGAATGACATTGAAAATGATGGTAAAGAAATCAGCCTTAATGAACTTGTAGGGGCTAGTAGGCTGAGTTGATACTGCCAGGGTTGCCAAATCCAGTTTTCATAATTCCAGGAAATAATGTTTTCATTCTGGTGCTCTACTAGATTTGACTCACATCTGTTATTTTGATTGGCATACAGAGGAACCTGATTCGGATGGGGTGATTTATTCTTGTTTCCCTAAACAGTAAGACCTGGAGTCTTGGAGAGCCCATAGACCCTCGTCCCTAGCACACAGCCAGTGGTGGTGCTGCTAGAATTTGAATCTAGGTAGTTCTATTTACTTATGAATGAAAAACTAAATTTAAAATAGAAAATGGGTTTTAAAAGAAGTAGAAACCTGAGGACTCCAGCATTTGAATGCCTACCCTAGATCGAGCAGCTTTCTTGGTGCTCTGAGCTTTACTGCGTAGGGAAATGGGAATGCTTTTTCTGTAGTCCTCAGCAGGCCCTTGTACAGACCAATCTGGCAGGTTCCCGGAGGTGTACAGCCTTGTCCCATGCTGGGATTCCAAGGCTAGCATTGTAGAGTTTGTAGTGTCTGCCTAAGCCTGGGCATAGAGAAAATCTAGGTAGAGACCTCCTGCTATAAACAATGGTGGCCAGACATGCCATTGGTTCCCAGGACCCCAACTCTTGTCCCATACACTATGGGGGCTTTTTCTCCCATGTCAAGATTGCATGGCATTATCTGAGCAGGTTGGCTGTAGAGGAGGAAATAAACTTGGGGGTTTAATCTGGATCTGCTCCCTATCAGCTGTGTGACCTTAGACTTTCCCTCAGCTGTCCTGACCTTGGTTCCCTTATCTCCGTATCTTTCACAACACAGCCGTCCAGCAGTCAGCCCAGGGTCAGGCACCTCAGAATTCAGCTCAGGAATCTGCTTCCACACTCACTCACATGGCTGACTGGCTGCAGGTTTCCTGCAAGTCTCTTAGTTGCTTTCTGAGTGTTGGCCAAATGCCCTTTCCAGAATGGCTAACGTGATGTCTTGTTTCACCAGGTGTTAGTACAACAGAGGAGAATTACTACAGTGTTCAATAACCTAAATTCAAAGACACATCACTTTGGCTGGATTCCGTCAGAAGTAAATCAGTAGATCTAGCATTCTCTTAAGGGGGCGGAAGCACAAGGTCATGAGCTCCAGAAGGTGTGGCTTATTGGGGCGCCAGGCCATGTTAGAGGCTATCTACCCCTGTCAGGGGTCTCTGTCTGTTCCGTGAACACTTTTGCATCCACTGTCACACATGTAGGGTACTGTTCTTCATCTGCTTCTTACCTGTTCTCACTTGAACATCAGGTAGGGTTGTTAAGAGAACCATTTCCACCGAATAGGCTCACTGTACAGTAGATGGACCACACCTCATCTTCAGTAACATGTTACTGCCTGCTTTCTCACCAACACTGCATCTTGTTGCTCAGACGATCTCTGGTCTAGAGGCCTGAGGTGTCTGAGAATCCCTGTCCTTAGAACAGCACTTACTTAGTGTCTATAGCAGGAGAATGGAGTCTCTCAGCTCTACCTGCTCAGGATCTGTGAAGTCCCTTTGCTGGCTGCCTTCCCTCCCCGTTTCCTGTATCTTCCAGATGAACTGGTGGTTTCAGGGTCTGCTTCTGGAAGCTTCCAAACCAGTCTAGGGATTGTAGACAGCTGCCACTGTGACAGAATATTGATGTCCAGATAGGGAACCTGAGGTCACGTTAGATGATGACTTGATATAGCTAATGAGTGAGCCAAGGTCTTGTAAGAACTAGAAGAATGTGGAGCACCTTCTTAGAAGGTTCAGATAGAAGTTAGTGGATATGAGTCAAGAACCAGCCAGCTGAGGGGACCCAGGTAAGCTGAAGAATGAGTCTGTGCAGGAGGCCTGTCAACATGGTTTGTCCGCAAAGGCTTCCAGCCAGTGAATGAAAGCACAGGAGCTGTGGGCGACCAGAATTGGGATGTTAAAGGAGACAGTTGTCCAGGGCAAATAGGATAAAACATATTCCTATAGAATATGGTGGAAGGGGTGTTGTAGTAGGTGCTGCGGGCCGCTTCCCGCCGCCCCAGGTCCTGGCTGCCTGGCCAGCTTTACCCAAAATAATTACATGGAAACAGTATTCTTTTAAACACTGCTTGGCCCATTAGTTTTAACCTCTTATTGGCTAGCTCTTACATATTGATCTAACCCATTTCTAATATTCTGTGTAGCACCACGAGCTGGCTTACCAGGAAAGATCTTAACCTGCTTCTGTCTGGAGTGGGAGAATCATGGCGACTGCCTGACTCGGTTTCTTTCTGCCAGCATTCTGTTCTGTCTACTCTGCCTACCTAATTTTCTGTCCTATCAGGCCAAGCAGTTTTCTTTATTAGTAAACCAGTGAAGGCAACAGATAAGATACAAGACCCACCTCCATCAAAGGGGGGGGACACAGTTCTGCACCCTTGTAATACCAGTACTCAGGAGTCTAAGGCAGGAGAATTACAAATCCGAGGCCAGCCAAAGCTACATAGTAAGACCCTCTCCCACAAAACAGATAAATTGAACTACATAGATAGCCATGCTACTACCTTCCCATGAAAAGAATGATGGTGTTACAACAATATACTTCCAAGAAGAAATGTGGATAAACTTGGAGAATGGGGCACTAAAAAAACATCTGAAACCTTACCCAGATGTGAATTGTAGTTAATAGTCCTCTTTTGAAATACTGGCCCAAAACCAGGTAATGGTGGTGGTGGTGGCACATGCCTTTACTTCAGCGCCCAGGAGGCAAAGCGGGAGGACCTCTGAGTTTGAGGACAGCCTGGTCTACAGAGTGAGTTCCAGCAGAGCCTGTGGCAGCCAGTTCCAACCAGGTGCTTGGTGGCAGCTTCAAGGAAGCTCTGTGGGTCAGAGTCCTCCCTACACTAGCATCATAAACAACTTCACAGCCAGCTCAGTAGCACATATGTGTAATCCCAAAACAGAGGCAGGAGGATTGCTACAAGTTCTAGGCCAGCTAGGACTAAGTCTCAGACTCTGCCTCAACCAAAAGTAAACTGAGCTTCATGAACTTTGCTTCTACGTTGTTCCTTTGAGCCCAGGAGACGGCTCAGTGGCCTTCCCTCTGGCCACTTGTCTGCCTGTGCAGTCCCTGAATAAGGCAGGCTTTGGCTTTAAAACAGCTCCCTCTAACCTGCCCTTCTCTCTCTGCCTCTGCCTCTAGTTGCCATTGAACCTCCAGGAAAGTCTCTCCAGAACCTTGCTTTCATTAAGCATCCCCTGCATCTCAGGGACATTTGGCCTTTTCTCTGTCATTAATTTAAAGTCCAGAAGGTTCAACCAGCTTTCCAGGTTGGCTTTTTTTTTTTTTTTAGATAACTAAGAAAGCAATTTTATTAACTATAGTCGATAATCTTCAGGTGGAGCCCACACTCTTGGGAAAGCCTCTATCTCTTCTTGGCTGTACTCATCCAGTCGTTTAGGCACTTTCCGTGGCCGAGGAAGTTCTTCCACTAAATTCTTAAGAATATCTTCTGGAATATCCTCATCTGGAAAAAGATGCAGCCTCTGCATCATTGTTCTTCTGTGCAGGTTTTTGGGCAGCATGCCATAGGTAGCTAATTTCACAATCGCCACTGGATCCTTCAGGTGCAGCTGTGCAGCTGTTACTTGTCTAAATCCACCTGGGTAGCCAGTGTGTGAGGAGTACACTTTCTGCTCCCATTTGTTTCCAGAAAATGCAATGTGTCTTGTGTTTATTATGACAACATGATCGCCACAGTCACTCAGTTGATGGTACACTGGTTTATGTAATCCTTGAAGCCTTTGTGACACTATAGCAGCAAGTTTGCCAGGGGGCTGCATTTTGCCATCTAGGAGATACCACATTCGAGCAAAAGTGGCCCATTGCTGAGGCGCCTTAGAGAAGCTGGACATGCTTCGCGACTTCCTCCAGGTTGGCTTTTGACTTGTCCTGACTACCTTCCAGGATTCTTTTGTGCTGTCCAGGCCTTCCTTCTCTCAGTGTCCCTTATTCCTCAGACATGCTCCCTGCCCCTCTCCTGCCCACCTTCCCATTCTCATAGCTGCTCAGCTGTGCTGACACAGTGCACACTTTAGGAATGTTCCATGGCACCAGGAATTGCACATGTGATTGCTCTCTCATCTGCAGTTTGGGGCTTGGTCCCAGTGATGTCAGCATCAGGCTGCAAGCACTCATTGTCATTCTGCCAGGAGTTTATGGAACTGCTAGCCAGCATGCTCTGGGAGTGAGACAGGCCTGTACTAGGAGGCATGCGCTAGGTTCTAGTAAGAAAAGTACATTTAGTGACAGTCGAGTCTGAGACACTGTGCTACCCTGTTTTGTTAAGAGACTGCCTGAGTAATCCTTGCACTGTCGTAGGGTCAGAACAACATTCCCTGCTGTTTAGTGCTAGTATTTCTGTTAAAACCCCATCTCTGCAGATGGGCAGATGTATGTGTACTTACACACATTCTCGTGTGAGTGAGGTAAGCACACATCTCGGTGCTGCAGGGTGGGTGTTGTTATTTTCTTTCATAGTGAGGAGCCTGGAACTCAGGGAGGTCAGAAGTGCTTCTAACACCATAGAGTTGGAGAGCTGGGATTGAAAACTTGTGTTTGTTTGCTGTTTGTAAGACAGTTTGCATGGGGACCTTGGGGGAGGGTTGAAGAGGGAAGGGCAGAGGTAGGAAGGGGAGCAGAGAAAAATGTAGAGCCCAATAAATTAAAAAAAAAGGTTTGTTGTTAAGTAGTCTGGCAAAGAACTTGCTGTGTAAACCAGGCTAATCCTTAAATTTGGGGCAATCCTCCTGTCTCTGCCTTTCAGTATTAGATTGTATCAGGCATCACCATACCCAGCTAGAAACTTGGTCTTGCTTTTTGTTTTGTTTTGTTTTGTTTTTCAAGACAAGGTTTCACCGTGTGACCCTGGCTGTGCTGGAACTTGTCCTGTAGACCAGGCTGGCCTGGAACTCAGATCTTCCTGCCTCTGCCTCCTGAATGCTGGGATTAAAGACATACACCATCGCTCAGCTAGGCCTTGATCTTTTATTTTTTTTTTTAATTTTTATTTTTTGGTTTTTTTTTTCTTTCTTTTTTTTTGGTTTTTTGAGACAGGGTTTCTCTGTAGCTTTGGTGCCTGTCCTGGAACTAGCTCTTGTAGACCAGGCTGGCCTCGAACTCCCAGAGATCTGCCTGCCTCTGCCTCCCGAGTGCTGGGATTAAAGGCATGCGCCACCACTGCCCGGCTATTTTTTTGTTTTTTCAAGACAGGTTTCTCTGTAGCTTTGGAACCTGTCCTAGCTCTTGTAAACCAGGCTGGCCTCGAACTCACAGAGATCTGCCTCTCACTGCCTCCCGAGTGCTGGGATTAAAGGCGTGCGCCACCACCGCCTGGCTATTTCTTATTTTTTCATGTTTTTATTGAGCTATATATTTTTCTCCACTCTCCTCCCTTCTCTCCTCCCTTTCTGCCCTCTCTCATGGTCCCCATGCTCCCAATTTACTCAGATCTTGTCTTTTTCTACTCATGTAGATCAGATCCATGTATGTCTCTCTTAGGGTTCTTTTTGTTGTCTAGGTTCTCTGGGATTGTGAACTGTAGGCTGGTTTTTCTTTGCTTTGCATCTAAAAGCCACTTATGAGTGAATACATACTATATTTGGCTTTCTGGGTCTGGGTTACCTCACTCAATATGATGTTATGTAGATCCATCCATGTGCCTGCAATAGGGTTTGATCTTTTAAGTACACTACAGAGCAGGCACTGTGGAGCAGCACCTGTGTATCAAAGAGACTGCTGCATGCCTCTGGGAGCTTGTAGTCTGGTGCAGCCAACAGCTGTTCTCTATAAAGGGCTAGACAGTAAATGATTTAGGCTTGGTAGTGTGGCAGTCCAGATAGCTCTGTTGTAATAGAGTGGATATCGCCAAGGACCATTGGGCTGTTTGGGGCATAGCCATTGTTATTCTAGCATGTGACAGAAAATGAACCTGGGCTTTGCTTTGGCTTGTGGGGCCACCATATTTTCCTGATACCTGGTCCATTAGTATGCTTCCCATTGGCGCATGCTCAGTGAACTCCTGTTGAGCATGGTTCCATGCTCATTCTCTGTCCTGTCCTGTTTCTTCTACAGTATGTGGGTGCCCCAGTGGCATACATCCAACAGATATTTGTGAAGTCATCGGTGTCTCCCTGGCACAAAAATCTTCTGGCGGTAGATGTGTTCCGATCACCACTGTCCCGGGCGTTCCAACTGGTGGACGAAATCCGGAACCACGTGCTGAGAGACAGGTATTCCTCCCAGGGACTCCAAACTCCTGAGTACCAAAGGGAGGCATATGCCGCAATCTTGACTACTGCAAGCCAGTCAGCCTTGCAGTTCCCAGGGTCCTTGTGGGCGCTTTGTGGCTGTATCCTCACAACTCACAAAGTAAGCATGAATGGACCTAACTGTAGGGAGCTTACCCATGGCTCCTGCTGTGGGGCTCTGCTAAGATTAGCAAGTCCTACCTGGGGGTCTGGAACATGTCACCACCAGGTTTAGTTAACTAATGGCTTTGATAAGAATCTTGGTGAACTAAAACCCCACTGAAACTGGCAGAGGTGTGTAGTGGCGAGTTTGCATGCTCTTCTGCTAACTTACCGTTCCTGAGGAGATGGACTCCAGGACGCCAGGGCCCTCTGAGGGCGGGACAGACACATGGTCTGGTTGAGCACTTGGAAGCCTTTCCCAGTACCCTAGGCGTCAGGCTCTTCTGTGACCCGGGGGAATAGGGCACAGGAGCCTGGTGGCAGATGGTGCCCCGTAAGTGCAGTGGGTTGGCCCCGTGCTGGCAGAAACAGCAGAGGCTTCCTCTCATCTTCTGCACAGCTCAGGGACCAAGAGCCTGGAGGAAGTTTGCCTTCAGGTGACAGACTTGCTGCCAGGCCTCAGGAAACTCCGGAACCTACTTCCGGAACATGGCTGCCTGCTGTTGTCCCCTGGGAACTTCTGGCAGAATGACTGGGAGCGGTTCCACGCTGACCCTGACATCATCGGGACCATTCATCAGCACGAGCCCAAAACTCTGCAGACATCAGCGACACTCAAAGGTGCCTCAGCGCTCAGGGTCGGGAGAGCCTGTGTGGTCGCTGTGTGTCCTTCAGCAGGTGCTCTAGTGTATTGGGGGCCACCCCGGCTTCTCAGAGTGATGTAGGGAAGGAGTCCTGGATAGCCCTGCCCATCCCCGGGACTGTCATTCCTATGTAAGCACTTGCTGGTTTCTGCCCACAGACTTGCTGTTTGGTGTTCCTGGGAAGTACAGTGGGGTGAGCCTCTACACAAGGAAGAGGATGGTCTCATATACCATCACCCTGGTCTTCCAGCGCTACCATGCCAAGTAAGGTGCTCAGGCTCCCAGCTGCTCTGTGGGACTTAGTTGAGTGGTTGCTTCTTTGACCTATTAACATGGCCCCAAGTCTCCTATAGAAATGTCTATGTTCTTTACACCAAAGAACTATATCTGATCATTTGAATGAGGATGGCCCTCAGGCCTGACTAAGAACAAGGAAACTGAGGCAGCTCTGACAACTTCTGTGGCCTGATGTTTCCTCTGGTTTCTCTCTAAGTCCTGGGCAGGTGCCTCACTCAGCTGACTGATGAGCTCTGTACAGCTGTGTCTTGTCTGAGCTATCACACAGTTCTCCACAGTTGGCAAGGGGACTTGAGGTGCCTCTCACACGCTCTTCTGAAGTTGAGATAAGTCAGGAAAGGAGGTTTGCCAGTTTTACCATCCTTTCAGTGTCTGTGAAGACTAGAGAGATGTTGAGAGAGCAGAGTAGCTTCCTTTCACAAACGGGAAGAGGAGACCTGCTGGGCCCCTCTAGGGACTTTTTGTCTACAGGTTTCTGAGCAGCCTACGCACCCGACTCATGCTCCTGCACCCCAGCCCCAACTGCAGCCTGCGAGCAGAGAACCTGGTCCACGTGCACTTCAAAGAGGAGATCGGCATTGCGGAGCTCATCCCCCTCGTGACCACCTATATTATCCTGTTTGCTTACATCTACTTCTCTACACGTAGGTCTCCAAATGAACTTTTCCGTGACACACACTTCCCTGCGGTTAGAGATGGCTTGGAGCCAAGATGTAGAACATACTTGGTGATCACTAAAACCAGGACTTCATTCCCCGTCAGATTCTCAGGGGTTTCTGAGGAAAAGACACTTTGTGAGTCAGAACTCCCGAAAGGAATGCTATGTTCATGAGACCAGAAGTGTCCATACTTGTCCTTTTCTTCTAGTTAAACAGGAGCCTTCTCTTCCCTGCTTGTCAGCATTCTCCTCAGGAGCTCAGTTAAGGAGGGTTTGCAGGGGCTGGGGAGGTACTGCCCTGATGCACCCTCTCTGCTCTGTAGGCAAGATCGACATGGTCAAGTCCAAGTGGGGCCTCGCCCTGGCAGCTGTGGTTACGGTGCTTAGCTCCCTGCTCATGTCTGTGGGGCTCTGCACTCTCTTCGGCCTGACGCCCACACTCAATGGCGGGTAGGTCTCACAGAGCCAGAGTGAGCCATCAGGTCCCTTGCACATCTGGGCCTGATGATGACCACTGGTGACCATCGGACTGGATGTTTGTTGTCACTCCATGTCTTTACCTTATTATTTTTGACATTGAAGAGGTACACATTCTTCCTCTTTAGCATGTGTGTATGCATATATGGCATATGCGTGTGTTATATGCATGTCTATGTGTGTACATATATATACATATGCATTGTGTGTTTTATGTATAGAACATTTGTGTTTGTATATATATGGTATCTGTGTATATAGATGTTGATCTTTAGATTTTAAACATCCATATGTGCACATTCCTGTTATTTATTTATTTATTTTGGTTTTTCTGGGTTTTGGGACAGGTTTGTGAGTAACAGCCCTGGCTATCCTGGAACTCACTTTGTAGCCCAGGCTGGCCTCAAACTCACATAGATCCACCTGCCTCTACCTCCTGAGTGCTGGAATTAAAGCCATGGGTCACCACCACCCAGTGCTTTTATTTTTTAGACTTATTTTTATTGTTTTTAATATGTTGGGTTGGGGGGTAGGAAAATGTACACATGAGTACAGATGCCCACGGAGGCCAGAAGAAGGCACCGAGCCCCTGGAGCTAGAGTTATTGGGGTGATGAGTTGATAATGTAGGAGCTGGGAACTGAACTCAGTAAGCAAGAGCAATAAGCATGCTTAACTGCTGAATCATCTCCAGCCTCGCACACTGCATTCTTTCTTTTTCTTTAATAATTTATTTACTTTTATGTGCACTGGCATTTTGCCTGCATGTATGTCTGTGTGAAGGTGTCAGATCTTGGAGTTACAGACAGGTGTGAGCTGACACGTAGGTGTTAGGAATTGAACCCAGGTCCTCTGGAAGAAGAGTCAGTACTCTTAACCACTGAGCCATCTCTCCCTTCACACTGCTTTCTAATGGCTTGTGTCCAGGGAGCATGTGAGATACAGAAGCGTATGTGTCTTCATGTGTCTTCACTATTGAAAGCTCCGTGGGTAAGGCGCTTCCCGCCTAGCCTGATTACTTGGGTTCAATCCCTAGAATCTGCATTATAGAAGGAGAGAATTATGTGCATTCATGTCTACATACATATACATGCATAAATGAATATAACGAAAGATTTTCTTTTTAAAGATTTACTTGTGCAGTCAGAGTAAGCCTGGAGTCTGTGCTGTCAGTATATGGGAATATTGTCTGCCTCCTTCTTCACTGAAGTACTTTCCCCATTCCTCTGAAAATCTTCGCCCAAGCCCTTCCCTGCATTTGTCCTTGGTCTGTCAGGCTGGCCCTGCCTGTTGCTACAGACTGACTGACCTGCCCTGACCTTGGCTTCTCAGGCATCTTAGGGGAAAGCCACTCTCTCCCCAGTATTAGATATGAGACCCAAGGCCTAGGACAGGAGTCAGCAGCTGTACAGAAAAGCTGCTTTGTGTCGGTCCTGATTGGTTCCGTGTCCTGGACTGCCTGCTTCCTTTTCTGAGCCACTTTCAGAGCTTCTCCCAATGGGTGAGAGGTTCAGCCAGCGTCAGGATGCCCTGTGGGAGCAATTGCTCTTCTCCAGATACAGCGTGTCAGCAAAGGTTAGGGATTTAGGTCATCCCTTTTGTTTAGGTCAGTATCTTGGGCTGGAGTAACCAGTGTAGGGTCCTAGAAATGGTTGTTCCATCAACCATTGGAGTCTAGTGTGGGAAGGGTTAAGAAAGCTGTGGCCTAGCTGTGGGGACAATGATGTTCTCAAGGGGGCCTCTTCCAGTCCCCCTTCTCCACTGGGTAGAAGAGACAGGCATGGTAGTTGGCCCCTTGGCAAAGCTTTGGAGCCTGCCTCAGAGCTGAAAACCTGTGTTGATAAGCCTCCTGGATGGAGGTGCATTAGAGGGGTTTCTGCCCTGTACTGCAGGGGCCACTTGGCAGCCTCTACTGTAGGCTGGCAGCCCCACAGCCTCCCAGGTAAGAACCAACACCTTCCTGTCTCTTCCTCTGTCCACAGTGAGATTTTCCCGTACCTGGTGGTGGTTATTGGCTTAGAGAATGTGTTGGTGCTCACCAAGTCAGTGGTATCAACCCCAGTGGACCTCGAGGTGAAGCTTCGGATTGCACAAGGTAACACTGGGGTGATGGGCTATTCTTTTATCTTTATGCCCAAGGGTATAAGAAGCCCTCAGAACTCCTTTTAAGGCTGTGGTGATGGCTCAGACAGTAAAGTGCTTGCTGCACAAGCGTGAGGGCCCAAGACCCGTGTACAAAGTCGGACAGAGTGGTACACAATTATAATCCCAACACTGAAAAGACAAGAGACAGGGGGATCCTTAACGCTTGCTGGCCAGCCAGTTTAACCTATTCAACCTTGGGCCAATGAGAGACTCTGTCTCAAAATACAAAGTAGATGGCTCCCGGTGTGACCTCTGATCTCTATATATGCTTGCGTACATTTGCACCCACACAGCCTTACCCCCCCCCCCAAAAAAAAAAATCCCAGCCTTGCTTTGGTCTTCAGGGTACTCTGTAAATTGGCCAGCCTGTTAGCTTATGTCCCAAGGAACCATCTAGTCCTTAGAGTGTACTTGGTTATGTCCCGTGTGTCAGAAAGAGAGCTAGCCAGCCAGTAGCAGCCCTGCACCTACCCCCTAGGGAAGTCTCACTGTAGCCTTGGCTGTCCTGGAACTTGCTATGTATTCCAGACTGGCCTCAGACTCATAGAGGTCCTCCTGCCCCTGCCTCCTGTGTGCGCCACCATACCCTGTGAGAGGGGATTGATCTGAGGCACTTGTCCTGAGCCCACTTCTGTGAGGAACCGCCAGAAACTGGCTGTGCGCTCATTCCACCAGCCTCTGATGAACTTGTGTGCCCTGCTACATACTGTGCTGGCTGTGGGGTTATGAAAGATGAGGCAAAGTCTCTGGGAAGCTCAACACACTGTAAATGCAGAGGCTTGACCATACAGCAGTTATGTAGCATGACCCTGGGGGCAGCGTGAGGAGGTCCCAGTTCATTCCTCTGTTGCTCTGGCGTGTGCAGCGCACAGGACAGCAGGTCAGCAGTGGATGGTTACAGTGGACGGTACCGGGCTTTCTTCCTGGGTTTTCTAACCTCACCACCTGCTTCCCCTTTGTTCTGATGGCCAGAGCATTCTGCTGCAGCCACCTTCCTTTACAGCAACTGCGTGGTGGTAGTGACTCCTAGAGTCTGGCTGCACAGAGGCTGGGCCCCCTTCATGCTTCTGTCCTTCTGAGGACTCCAAGGTCAAGCGTGGCCATGTAAAACAGGTAGGTTCTCACCGACCCTTGCTCTGGCTCCCCCCCCTTGCAGGCTTAAGCAGTGAGAGCTGGTCCATCATGAAGAACATGGCAACTGAACTAGGCATCATCCTCATTGGCTACTTCACCCTTGTGCCCGCCATCCAAGTAAGAGCCCAAGGCTTTACCTCTTGGCAGCCAGCGTGTGTGTGTGTGTGTGTGTGTGTGTGTGTGAGAGAGAGAGAGAGAGAGAGAGAGAGAGAGAGAGGGGGGGGGGGGGAGGGAGAGAGAGAGGCGCATGAGCAGGTCAGAACCTGTGTATGGAGAAGGGCTCTCAGGGAACATATTAGTGGGCTTAACGTTTTCTGGGTTGGATTGGGCACTTATGCCTTTCTCAGGGGACTGGAATTTTCTGGAAAGTACCCTTTCAGTCCACTCTGGAGAAAGGGATGCATGCTCTTTGCTGCCCCCTAGTGAGCTGCTAGCCTAACCTTCCTAGTCTCTGGACCCTTAGCTGAAGACTTTTTTCTTTGTCTTTGCTGTGCCCTGCTGATTCTGAGGGATCCTGCTGTCCAGGCTTGCAGCCATGTAGCCACAATGCCTCTGGTGTGTGCTCATTCCAGGAGTTCTGCCTCTTCGCTGTTGTGGGCCTGGTGTCTGACTTCTTCCTCCAGATGCTGTTTTTCACCACTGTCCTGTCAATCGACATTAGGCGGATGGAGGTAAGAGTGGCAGAGCCTGCCCTACCCACTCTCTTGGCTGGTGCTTGCTCTCTTCAGACAGCTTCTGAGTGAGGGTGTGGCCCCAGGCAGAGGCAGCAGTCCCATGCAGGCAGCCTCTGAACAACTCGGGGCCTGATCTCTGTGCTCTCGACAGCTAGCGGACCTGAACAAGCGCCTGCCCCCTGAATCCTGCCTGCCCTCGGCCAAGCCTGTGGGAAGGCCAGCACGCTATGAGAGACAGCTAGCTGTACGGCCAACCACACCACACACCATCACACTGCAGCCATCTTCCTTCCGAAACCTGCGGCTCCCCAAAAGACTGCGTGTCATCTATTTCCTGGCCCGTACCCGCCTGGCACAGCGCCTCATCATGGTACCCATCACCCCTGTTCTGCCTTGCAGAGGACAGCATTCAGATCCCAGGGGTGGTCCTCCAAAGCCTTGCTTCCTGAGCTATTTGATATGCCTTTCCTACTGGACCAATAATTCCTGGTCTGTCTGTTGGGGAAGTACCTCCAGGGTCAGCAGGGAGGAGATGTCTTTCTAGAGGGACCCAGGTCAGGGATTGTCTAGGGTGAAGCCACTTTGCATGGTCAGTGTTTTCCTGGGTCATGGTTAATCAGCTTCCGTGTAGCATGCAAACAGCAGAGCCTAGTGGGATGTGCTGGCTGCGGGGGTGAGAGCATCTCTCCCAGGCAGCTGAAGGGAGAGGCGGGTAACACTAAAGCCCTCTGGCAGGTTTTCAGGCGGTCGGGCAAGTTCTGTCAAACTAAAGCAGTACAGTGATTTCTAACCAAGGGAGCTAGGCCTCTAGTGGCGATTGTCAGCAGGTGGTAGTGAGAGGACTTGGGGACATAGGAGAAAGTATAGACTGGGAGTCATGTCCTTCCAGTGTGAGAGCCAAGATGGCTGGGGCCTGGGGCTGTCCAGTGCTTACAAGGCCCTGCTGAGCACCTGACACCCCACTACAGGCTGGTACCGTTGTTTGGATTGGCATCCTGGTGTACACAGACCCAGCAGGGCTGCGCACCTACCTCGCTGCCCAGGTGACAGAACAGAGCCCACTGGGTGAGGGTTCCCTGGGCCCCATGCCTGTGCCTAGCGGAGTGCTGCCTGCCAGCCACCCGGACCCTGCCTTCTCCATCTTCCCACCTGACGCTCCTAAACCACCAGAGAACCAGACATTGCCAGGTGAGCTGCCTGAGCATGCCGTTCCAGCAGAGGGTGGCCATGACAACCGAGCCCCAGAGGTAACTTGGGGGCCTGAGGATGAGGAGCTGTGGAGGAAATTGTCCTTCCGCCACTGGCCCACACTCTTCAACTACTACAACATCACACTGGCCAAAAGGTAAGTTGAGCTGTGCCAACTGTCAGCCTTTCTCCCAGTATCCACTCACCATCCCCAGAGCATCTCCTCCACTCGGTGAATCTGAAACAGTTGTAACGATTCTGGGGCAGCAATACGGGAACTGGTGGCGCTGCCAGCAGACACACCTGGAAGAGTGACCCTGAGTCCCTGTTCTCAGGAGTTAAAGATTGCTTGCCCCTCTTCCCTGGGCAGAATGAGATCCATTGATGGTTGCTAGGGTGCCACTGTCTGAAAATCGCAAGATTGGGCTGCCAGAGGTGGTTTGGGGAGGGGCTGCAGGCAGTGAGAAGACTGCATTGGGAGGGCCACAGCAGGGCACCACTGCCTACTCACAGGTACATCAGCCTGCTCCCTGTCATACCTGTCACCCTGCACCTGAATCCACGGGAGGCCCTGGAGGGGCGGCACCCTCAGGATGGTCGCAGTGCCTGGGCCCCACCTGAACCTTTGCCTGCTGGCCTTTGGGAGGCTGGACCCAAGGGACCAGGTGGAACACAAGCCCATGGTGACGTTACCTTATACAAGTAAGGCCCCGGTGAGGCAAGAAGTGGGTCAGGGTGAAGCCAATATTGGGGTGCATCCTGCTCACACTTTTGCTTTTCCGCACAGGGTGGCCGCACTTGGCCTGGCAGCGGGCATCGTCCTCGTGCTGCTGTTGCTCTGCCTCTACCGGGTGCTCTGCCCGCGGAACTATGGGCAGCCCGGTGGTGGTCCGGGCAGGCGGAGGCGTGGAGAGCTGCCCTGCGATGACTATGGCTACGCGCCGCCTGAGACGGAGATCGTGCCGCTGGTGCTGCGAGGGCACCTCATGGTGAGGGGGGTGGTGTCCGCGGGCAGCAGGCTGTCATGGCCTTGGCCTATGCCAACACAGCACCCTCATGCAGGACATCGAGTGTCTGGCTAGCGATGGGATGCTGCTGGTGAGCTGCTGCCTGGCAGGCCAAGTCTGCGTGTGGGACGCACAGACCGGGGACTGCCTCACGCGCATCCCGCGCCCAGGGTAAGCACAGGTTGGCCCTGCCCCTTGCTTGCTCTTGAGGCAATCCACTGCTCATTCTTGTGGCCCCTCACCCTGGGCAGGCCACGCCGGGACAGCTGCGGAGGCGGAGCTTTTGAAGCTCAGGAAAACTGGGAAAGGTTGTCCGATGGCGGCAGAACTTGCTCCGAGGAGCCTGGGGACAGCCCTCTGCTGCGACACCGCCCCCGAGGACCTCCACTGCCTTCCCTCTTCGGGGACCAGCCAGATCTCACTTGCTTAATCGACACCAACTTCTCGGTGCAGCTGCCCCCGGAGCCCACTCAGCCCGAACCTCGGCACCGGGCAGGCTGTGGCCGCTCTAGGGACTCTGGTTATGACTTCAGCCGTCTGGTGCAGCGTGTGTACCAGGAGGAGGGCCTGGCTGCTGTGCACATGTCGGCCCTGCGCCCACCCTCTCCGGGATCCCCGCTGCCCCAGGCTTCTCAAGAAGAGGGGGTTGCACCCGAGAAGGGCTCCCCTCTTCTGGCCTGGGCCACCAGCACAGCCGGCTCTATCTGGAGCTTGGAGCTGCAAGGCAACCTCATCGTGGTTGGGCGGAGCAGCGGCCGGCTGGAGGTGGGCCTAGAGGCTGCTCACATCTAGTTGGGGGGTTCCCACGAGGAGGGGGTGCTCACAGCCTCTGTGCTCGCAGGTGTGGGACGCCATTGAAGGGGTGCTCTGCTGCAGCAGCGAGGAGGTCTCCTCAGGCATCACAGCCCTTGTCTTCCTGGACAGGAGGTGAGAGTGCCCGGCTGCTTATCTCAGCCCGCCTGTCGCGGTCTTGAGGCCTCTTTCCTTCATTTGCTGTGGGATTTGAGCTTTTCAGTCAGTCTCTAATACCTGTGCATCGAGGGTGGTTCAGGTGGTAACCACTTTAGAGATGCGAAGTGTTTGCAGCAGGGCCAGGCACAAGGGAAGCTCCCAGAGTTTTCTTTCTACCCTTCTAAGTCAGCATCTTACTGGATTGTGAATGCTCACCCCTCTGGATATTTCACTCTTACTTTCAGTTGCAGAAAATCTGCAGAATGTTTTTTTTTTTTTTTTGTATTTGAAATAAGGCCTCATTTGGGTACTCTCTTTTTAAAAAATTATTTTTTTTGAACGTGTTCAGGGTGTTTTGTTTTGAAAAAGTTATTTTGCCTGCTCATATGTGTCTGTGCACATGTCTGTCTGATGCCTGGAGTCCAGAAGAGGGTGCCAGGTCCTGGAACTGTAGTTAGATAGTTGTGAGCTGCCCTGTGGATGCTGGGAAACAACCCTGGGTTCTCTGGAAGAGCAGTGTCTCTCCAGCCCTCATTTAGGTACTTCTCAACTGCGCAAACTCACTACATAGCCCAGACCAACCATAAAGCAATCCTCAAAAGCCTTTCAGAGGTTGGGATTATACGCGTGTACTGCATCTGGGCTCAGACCGTCTTTGTTGAGTCTGCATTTGCTAAATGCTTCCCTCCCTCCTCTCCATGCTGCTGTGCCCTCATAGAAGCTCAGGGTGGGGAGGGGTTCTAGTTCCTCAACTTTGCCCCTCAGCTGAGTTTACGAACTCAGTTCACCTGCCTGCTCCAGGAAGTTGGCTCTTCCAAGGGTTCCTGGCTATTAGTGATTCCACTATCTGAACTGGAGTGGGAGCTTGAGGGGGGGGAGAGGAGGGTGGAGGTGGGGGGGGGGTTGGTGTCAGGAACTCTGGCCGTCTCCATTTTGACTGCTGCCACCTCTTCCTGCTATCACTGGGACTTGCACGGACATTTACTGCATTTTACTGGCAGCCTGGCTGACCTTATTCCTCGTGCCTGTTGGAAATCCTTCCTCACTGCTTGTTCTCTCAATTAGCTCTGGAAGAGCTCACGCCTGACCTTTAAAGTTCCTGGTGACCGTTTTCTCTCTCTCTGCCCTTCCTGTGCACCATGGATCCCCAGATGAGCCTGTTTTGATGATCATGGGCAGAAGCTGTAATGTTCACTGACTTCTGCTGGGACAAGATTTCCGAGCCTCACCTGACTTGATTGTAGGAGCCACTGGCACATATGCCTGCCTGTGCCTGCGGGCTGTGTCTAAGAATTGTTGAGAGCAAAAGAAATCTTTTTGTAGTTAAAGGAAAGAAGCAGACTATATACTTAGGTCAGAGCTGATTTATGTCATGGATATTGCAGCCCCCTATGGGGCTCCATGACATGCTCACCCTGAATCCTTCTCCCCTTCCTCAGAATTAACCCAGTTCTCCTGACCTTAAGCTCCAGGTTACGGGGAAACTCATAATTGGTTACATGTGTAGTCCTGGAACTCCCTCTGTAGACCAGGCTGGCCATTGAACTCACAGAGATCCACCTGTCTCTGCCTCCCGAGTGCTGGGATTAAAGGCGTGCGCCACCACCCGGCTCTTGCATCTTTTTTGTAGCACTTTGTGTATTCCTCAAGGCCTTAGTCTCTTGTCTTTCTCTTCTAGGATTGTAGCTGCTCGGCTTAACGGTTCCCTTGATTTCTTTTCCTTGGAGACCCACACATCCCTCAGTCCCCTTCAGTTCAGAGGTCAGTGGGCCTGGGAGCAGCAGCCATTGCACATGGTGGGGGAGTCTGCACAATGCCTTTTCAGAATCTGCTCACTGAGCCTGTCCTCTGTAGGGACCCCAGGGCGAGGCAGTTCTCCTTCCTCATCTGTGTACAGCAGCAGCAACGCAGTGGCCTGTCATCTGACCCACACAGTGCCGTGTGCACACCAAAAACCCATCACAGCCCTGAGAGCTGCTGCCGGGCGCCTGGTGACAGGGAGCCAGGACCATACTCTAAGAGTGTGTATTGTTTATTTCTGGGTACCGGTGAGCTGGAAAGGGGTAGGGAGCAGAAGTGGGCTGGAGGAGTCCTAGAGAAATGATGGAAGGCATTTTCTAGCTGAAACACATAACTTGGAAGGTTCCAGAGACCAGAGCCTACTCATCCCTGTCCTAGGTCTTCCGACTGGAGGATTCGTGTTGCCTTTTTACCCTGCAGGGCCACTCAGGGGCAATCACAACTGTATACATTGACCAGGTGAGGCTGTCATCTGGTGGGGCTGTTGGCCCTTAGAAGCAGTAATGGGATGGGGACAGCCTTGTTGGCAGAGAAACTCTACCCATGATCTAGTTTCCTTGGGCTTCTTTCCCCAGACCATGGTTCTGGCCAGTGGAGGACAAGATGGAGCCATCTGCCTGTGGGATGTACTAACAGGTAGCAGGGTCAGCCATACATTTGCTCACCGTGGAGATGTCACTTCCCTGACCTGTACCACTTCCTGTGTCATTAGTAGTGGCTTGGATGACCTCATCAATATCTGGGACCGCAGCACGGGCATCAAGCTTTACTCCATTCAGCAGGTAAGCATGCGGGGTACAGGGTTGTTGGTGTCTGGAGATGACCTCACACTGAAGACCTCCCCTGGCTTTCCCTCCAGGACCTGGGCTGTGGTGCAAGCTTAGGGGTCATCTCAGACAACCTTCTGGTGACTGGTGGCCAAGGCTGTGTCTCGTTTTGGGACCTAAACTACGGGGACCTGTTACAAACAGTCTACTTGGGCAAGAACAGTGAGGCCCAGCCTGCCCGGCAGATTCTGGTGCTGGATAACGCTGCCATTGTTTGCAACTTTGGCAGTGAGCTCAGCCTAGTGTACGTGCCCTCTGTGCTAGAGAAACTGGACTGAGGGCAGGCCGACTACACAACCCCTTTGCCCCCACCCAAAGTGGGTCACTGGGGGCAGAAACTCTTTGGACCTAGAGTGGAGGCAAGCGCTAGGCATCTTCTTTGCAGCTGACTCTGAAGTATTGTCTCCAGATTGTAATATTAAACTTTTTTAAAAACTACATTTACCAGGGGCCTGATCTTGTGTCTGTCAATCCACTGTATCCCTAGACCCTTAGCCTTCTCACAGATGTTCAAGAAATAGGATTTCTGGGCAGTAGCGCACACTTTTAATCCCAGCACTCGGGAAGCAGATCTTTGAGTTCCAAGATAGTCAAGGCTACACACAGAAACCTGTCTCAAGAAACAAACAAAAAAATGTGGTAAGGGAGAGAGAAGTGTCTTTGGCACTCCTGAGGCAGCAGTGGGTGAGCTCAGACATTGGCCACAGAGTATGTTTATTCTTTCAGTAGCCCAGAGCTGAAAAATGTCAGGTTCCACAAAGGAGCAGAACCTGACCTGAGGCCTGCAGTACAACTCCATCTGGCAGAGCCGAAGGCAGCAGGGATGGGAGATGTAGTGTATGGACCAGGTAGGTAGGTCTATTCAGGTCTTGTTAAGTGTCCAAAGTGGATCCAGGAGGCTTAGGGGATCATCTGTAGGCTGGGCAGCCCTTAGACCCTGTCCATTGTGGGCCTGTAGAAAGTTCTGCTTGCTCATCCGTTGTTTTCCCCGCAAAGAGCTGTCCAGTGAAAATGCCTCTGGAGTCAGAGAGGCCAACAGCTCCAGGGACGAGGAGGGGGGCCCTAAGCTGGGGGCTTCAGGCACTGGTGGCTCCTCCTCTGGCTGTGGGGCCTCAGGCAGAGGTGAAGAGAGAGGGGGAGGAGAGGAGGATGGGACAGGAGTAGGCTCTGGAAGGCTGGCTGGTGGAAGACCCGGGGGTTCTACAAGACCTGGAAGGCTGGCAGCTGGGGAATCCACACCACCTAGGGGCCGGATGCTGAGCTTGGCAATGGTAGCCTGGATGGAACTGATGGGCACATCTCCACCGAGGACCAGATCCTGTGAGTCCTGAGGCAGGTGATTCTGGGAAGGGTAGAGTTGGTAAGAAGGCAGTGTCACCAGGTTGTGACCGTCCCAGCAGAGCCCTCAAGGAACTGCCCTCACCTTCTGACTGATGCTGGCCGCAGGCTTGCCTGGAGGGGGCACACCATGTCGCTGTAGAACCTGCTCCACATGTCTCACCAGCGCCTCGTGGCAGAACCTGAGATGCAGCTAGAAAGATACATTTGGTGTGGTCAGCTGGGCAGGGGCCATCCTCAAAGGGCAAACCCAGCTCAACCCAGTCTACCCACTCACTTTTTCCTGCAGCATGTGTTTTCTCTGCTGCCGCATCCGCCTCACCAGCTGAGGCAGCTCAGGAATCCCATTCCCAGCCTCCACCTCCTGCACTGCTGCATACAGCAGTGCAAAGGCTCCTGTGCGGCCCACTCCAGAGCTGCGGCAAGAAGGAAGCATAAGGCCAGGCTAAGACAGGGTAGACACGTTCACTCAAGGGCTGCCAGCTCCTACCTGCAGTGTACGACAATAGGTGTGTGCAGAGGTCGCTGATGCAAGTAATGTGCATGTACCTCCTGGATGAAGCGCAGCAGGTTGCCAGGGCTGTCTGGCAGGCCTCTGCAGGGAAAGGGCAGGTATGAGCCCCTGATGTGAGGTCTTCACCCCTAAGCACCCAAGGAGTTTTGCCCTGACCCCTACCATCCAGAACAGTGAACGTACAGCTCAGGCCAAGTAGGAAAGTGGAGGTGCACAAGAGAGCGCTTGAGGCTCTGATCACGGAACTGTAGACTCAGCACTCGCTCCACATGGGTTTCGGTAGTGCGAACACTGCTCAGTGCCACACTCAGGGCTCCATGCACCATGGGCTGGCCCCTCTCAGTGGGGAAGTAGCGTGCCACTTTTTGCTGAAGAGTTGACAGGACAGTTAAGGCTACCTTTCCCAGACTCCCTGCCTCCCCACACCACAATCCCTTCCTAATCTAAGCTCTTACCTTTTCCATTTCGGCCTCAGAGACCAGCATGACAATGACTGATACTTTCTGTTCATGCACCATGAGCCAGAAATCGGCAGCTGTGCCAGGCAGTGGGGCCTGGGTGGCCACTAAAGGTGGACAGTACGGCGAGAGCCCCTCCACACAGCTAGCATTAATGTAGTCATCTTTGCCCGAGCGCAACACCACACGGTTACTGTCATAGGGCATAACATCTTGGTGCCGGTTCTTCAGCGAGTAGCAGCGGGCAATAGCAATGGATCGACCTCGGGCATCATGTTCCTGTGCCTCTTGCAATTCTCTCCAGATTGCATCCAGTGCTCCTGCATCCCCTAGCTGTCCCCGAAAAGTCTCCAGCTCCTGCTGCAACTGCCGCAGCCTCTCAGGATGTTCATAGGGGTCCTGCTCAATCAGCCGCAGGGCCTGTGGCCGACGGCCCTCAGCTGCATCTACCTTGGTAGGCTGCAGCAGGGGTTGCCCACCCCCAGGAGGCTGCGTTCCTCCATGTTGACTCTCAGGGCTAGAAGACAGGAGGTCTGCAGCTGCAGCACCTCGGCGCAAACACGGTGGTGGCTCTGCTGTTGGAGGCCTTGAAGGTACTGGACCAGGCCCTGGCGATGGGGCAGGTGAAGGCACCAAGTGTGGACTAGGGGTGGTCTGACTGGCTGGTGGGGGACCTCGAATAGAAACAGGGGTTGCCTGAGGACCCAGGGGCCTAGGGGAAGGGGCAGGGCCATATGTCAGGGTGGGATGAGGGTGAGGAGGCCCAGGGCTAGGGAAAGGCAGAGCCCCCGAGTGTGGGGGAAGAGGGTCTTGAGATGGGACTGGATAGACCTGGCTGTGCAGGGTGGGTGGTGGCTGCCCCAAGACAGCAGCAGGCTGAGGGGTAAAAGGGTAGGGAGGTGGAGGTGGAGGAAGAATCCCTGGGGCCTGAGTTGGGAAGAGATGTGGATGCTGGAAGGGAAGGGGCTGATGTGAGGGCTGTGGACCAAATGCTGGTTGTGGGGGCTGGGGCTGAGGCTGAGCTTGGGGCCCAATCCTAGGGGCTGGAAAGCCTGTGGGGACCCCAGGAGGAAAGTGGTGCTGTGGTGGAGGGCCTGTGAGGTGCTGCTTGGCCCCTACAGGAAAAGCATAGGGTGCGGGCAGAGGCTGTGGTTGGGGAATAGGCTGGGACACAGGCTGAGGCACAGGAAAGCAGGGCTGGGGGAGAGCTGGGGTAGGGTTTGGCCGTGGTGCTGCATGGCTAGAGATAGGGGCCTGGACACTATCTACTGTAGTGGTAGCTGGCCGAACTGCCATGGCTAACTCAGGTCCTGAGAACTGGGGGGGTGGGGCAGAGGGAAGACCTACAACTGGTGGAGGTGGCCCTACCCCCACATAGGGACTGCTTACAACTCCATGCTGGGGAGAGGATCTGGGTACAAGGCCCAACTCTGATGTGTAGGTGGGGGCTGGGTAGAGGACCGTCCCAGGTGCCATGGGCACTGCAGCCCTGGGCTGCATCAGTTGCGTGGGGCCTGAATAGGTTCCAGGGGGTAAGGGTGCTGAGAGATAGTGGGCTGCTGGGCCTGTGGAGCTAGGGAAGGGGCCAGGAGAAAAGTGGAGCGGGGCCGTAGTTCCTAGGAATGGGTCAGGCAGCCGTGAGCCAACCACCATATCCGGAGGCAAGCTGCGCAGCTCCTCAGGTGGGTCTCCAGCCTCTACTGCCTCACCCTCATCGCGGCGGGAGAGCAATGGTTTGGGGGCTGTGGGCCGAGGTGGTGGTGCCTTTTTCTTTAGCTCCCTAAAGGATAGGCAGGGAAGCAAGGTCAGCTTCATACACCAGGTTGGCCTGGCCCAGGTCCACAATGAAGCTGAAGACCACACTCACCTGTCCAGGAGCTGCTGGCGGGCAGCCTCTTGGGCACGACAGATGGACTGTGCCCGTTCCAGCAGGGTGGCTACCTTGCTTTCCAGGTCTGCATAAAAGTCCTTGCCTTCCTGGGACTTCTTCATCAGGTCCTCATAGGCTTCATATGAAGCTACCAGGGTCTGTAGTGTGGAATTCCACCTTGGTGGGCACAAGAAAAAGCCATAAGGCACACTATAGGGACAGAGCTCCAGATGGGGCATGGGGTAAGAAGGAAGGCAGGCACTGACTTCTGGTCCAGTTCACTAAGCACCCGCCGCACAGCCGCATACTGCACATTGGCCTCAGTCAGTGCCCGGAGGACATTGTCCTGGGCAGCTAGGTTCTGCTCCAGGTACACCTTCAGCTGATCATACTTCTTCAGCTGCTCCTCAAACAGTTTCTGTGGAAAGATAGGAACAAAAAAACTAAGTAAGGAGCCCTGAAACAGAGCCCTTTCTCAGTGCTCATCCAACCCACCTTCATCTCTGAGTGGTCAGTGGTGACCAGGGAGGCAGTGATGTCATCCTTCTGGATCAGCTCTCGGAGTTGCTGCTCCAGGGACACACGCTGGTCCCGCATCTCCTGCACCTTGGCTAGGATGCGCTTCAGGTTTTGCAGCACAGCCTTGTCCTCTGAAGGTAGCAGCAATCAGTGCGGCCAAAGAAACCCTAGCTCCAAGCCCCTTCCTGCTAGCCATGGGTGGGGCTTACCTGGGGTGAGGGCTGGTGTGGGTAGGGCAGCCCGCACCTGGTCCAGTGGTCCACTGAGCAGGCGCAAGTTACCAACATGCAGATTCATAGCACGGTGCAGCTCGCTGTTGGTGAAGGACGCCTTTTCATGAACTTCCATGTACTTGGTCCACTCTCGCCTCACCTCTACGAGCTCAGCCTTAGCCACGGAGGGGCCAGGGGCAGCCCCAGTCTGGCCCAGGGTCTCCTGCAATTTCTGCTCTTGCAGCTCATCTTCCTCCAGCAGATCCCTGATGTCCTTGAGGGAGGCTTCCACATCCGTGAACACACCTGACAGCACTGAGGTGTATTGGGGGTGGCCACTGAGGTAGGCAGAGCAGACACCACTCTGCCCTCTGCCCACAAGACACAGAAATGCCCACTAGGATCAGAGTTTGTTTCCCAGCACTTGCTCAACTCCACAGATACAGGAAGCCCATAGTTCACTGATCCACAGAACCATTTGGATGGTGCATACTTGAGCCAGGGCTTCACCAGCATCCTCGGTGGAG